TTGTTGTGATTGTTGGTTGCATGCATACGACTGTATGAGTGTATGAGTAAATACATGAGCGATTTATGCCGAAACGGCACCAAACCTGCCGCATATTTTGCTCCCATGCCCCACCCGGCACCCGACTAGCTGCTCACCACATGCCAGTTTCGCACATCTGCGCGCTGCCTTGCTTCTGCACGCGTATCGCCCACACCAAATGGCCATGCCAATCGCCGTGGCACAACTCCCCCGAACTTGCCGAATCATGTGTCGCAGAGACCTCTCGTCGCCCGCGATCCGACCGCCAGTTGGCAGAACGAGCTCTCCACGCATGTCACACGCGCCGCCACTGAGGAGCAGAGACCGGCGGCGCTGTACAACGGTTGGGCATTGTCGGCCGATGTACCGTTGGCCGGCGGCGCTTCCGAACGCACTGGAGAGCATGACCATTGGCAGCAGCAGCAGCAGCAGCAGCAGCAGCAGCAGCAGCACGTACACTACCAGTGCCGTGATGATCACCACGACCGAGAGCAACAGCAGCGACTACAGCTGTACCGGTCGAGATTGCACTCTGCAAGGCCTAGTGCATTCTCTGGCCCTTCCGCCGCCTGGGAAGACTGCATTTCGCGGACAAAGGCAAGTTTAGTTCTCCTGTACAACCTTGATGTTTGTCATGCCGTGTTCTATGCAATGTAGATGTACTTGTACTTGGCCACAGACGAGGCCCAGACAATTATTCGGTGGCCATTTCCTATATTTTCGTCGCGTGCGACATGCACTTCTAATCGTCTCCGCACGTAGCCTATAACATACACCACCAGCCAAACCCTGGCACAAGAGCTGTTGTGGAGCTATCTTTCATTGGCTCTACCATAGCCTCCCATGTGCACGATTGTCAAGTGTTGGTGTGGTGGTATCACCTACAGAATGTACGTGTAGACTAGTGCGGTGTACCTGCCTTCAAGCGCGTGCGGCGCTCGCTAGCGAGAGCAGAACTCCGACCTGCATGCCACATTAGTACACTATTTACGTCGTGATAAGGCCTACCGAACGATCCGTTCAGGCGTTCAGGTTGCAACGCAGCATGTTCCCGAGGTACCCGTGCAGGCTGCTCTTTCCATTTTCTGCTCACTCTGCCGGCTCTGTCGCAAACGCATGTGCTACACCGCCATGGACTATTGATACTGCTCTCGGAGGATGAAACTAGGGCCACTACATGCATGACGGTGGGAACCCCAACGTACTCCACACAGAGCCCGTTAATCTAGTTGCTGTGTGGAATTTGACCCTGCAGACCCTCTCGAAAATGTTCCCGACAACGTTCGGCGTCTTGTTCCTGTGCCTTCGTACTTGGTTTTCTTTTCCCGGCCAGAGATGGCGCGAAAGCCTTGACGGCGGTCAGCCAAGCGACCAAGCAGAGATTCAAGGGCGGCAGAGCGAGGCCGAGACCCTCTGTTCTAGCAGCGGACGCCACCAACCATGCCAAGGCTGCTTGGCGAAAGCGGCCGAGCTGAGGGATGTGATGGCGTCCCTCGAGCTCGTCCAGGTACGATCGCGCGCCGCGGTGGACCGCTGCAACGAGCAGCAAGCCGACCTGGAGCGCCGGCGGGACCACACTGGGCAGCTGGAGAGATCTCTGGAGGAGGCCAAGGCCGAAGTCGGTCGCATCCAGGTGAGAGAACGAGGACACATTCATATACTCAGAATCAGAGAGAATTCGTACAAGTTTTGTTTGGTCCGCGTGGACGGACGTCTTGTGCATCAGTCGCTCGGTTGGCGCGGTCCGTGCTAGTGAACGAAGCACACAAACATGGTGCGCCACTCCTGTACAGTATCATGATAGAATCTACTTTGCTCGAATGCAGCTCGTTGGTATGACTGTGAAACGCCCGCAACCGGTGGCATCAACGTTCCCGTGTCGGAAGCAAAGCATGCGCTACGATACAGGAAGACAACATGTTTCCCGTTTGCTGCAAGGTTGACGTGTAGCACATCGGTCTCTCCTGGACACCGATCGACTAGAAACATTTCTGGACGCTCACGATTGCCAGGGCCCCATTTCGAATCTCGGGCGCACTGCGTGACGCGAGAGTACCGGCATTTCCCCCCTACCCTTCAGATATTGGAGTGATTTCTGTCAACAGACGATACCCCTGAGTGGAGCGTTGCATTTCTTCTGCGCGGAACGTCGGCATGACAGGACTACTATCCGTTGTGTGTGCGCGCATTCTACTGAAGCCGTCCTCGCGCGATTGTTCTATCGCCAGGCATCGATGCAGCAGCTCGAGAGGGAAAACCTCTCCCTGCGCGCTCAGTTGGCGGAGAGGGCAAGCTCTTCTGTTGCAGCGGGAATGCTACACAACCTGGCGGTAAGTCGTGGTACCTCGATATTGGCGCCGGTAGATATTGATCAGTATTTACCATGGTGTAGTGTCCTGTTGCGGCAGGGGGCAGGAGGTAGATCGGGAGCATGATGGAATGCCTGGGTGAGAGACCCCGACGAAATGGGCTGTACATAGCATAGAACAGCCCGTGTGCCCTGCATAGAACCGATTTCGAGGCATGGGACTCACCGACCGAACAGCCGTGAAGCAAGTCTGTCGCGAAAAGGCGGAACACAAGACATGTGGCGAGAAAATTTCACAAAAGTATGCACAGCGCCCAACGCACGCCCTTCCCCGGTGTGGCGGTTGGCTTAGTCATTTGGCGTGGTCAATGGCACACGTGTTTCACGGCCTAGTTTTCAACCCCGGGACTTTCGCACCATCCCCATTTTTTGGAGACAAACGTGCTTTCGGAGGCAGTCGATGCCAGCAACGTCAAATAAGCCATGGCGGTCATGCATATCACATCACGCCAGCGATATGTCGCCGGGTTCTCCCCACATCGACAACGTTTTGGTTCTATCAACTCAAAATCTGCGAACTCCATGTTCTGCTATATTTGTTCTTCCTTTTCCGATAGGTCGCCGCCGCCACCGCCACCGCCACCGCCGAGGGGGGAGGACTGGGTACCGAGCAGGGCGTGGCGGACGCACGCCCAGTGGGCGACGACTTGGGAACCTCGTTCGTCCGACGTCAGCTGGAAGATGCATGCGCGAAGGCGGTGTTTGCCCAACACGCGTTGGATCCGGGACGCGGGTTGCTCCAGATGGACGACGAGCTCGGGGCTGGTGGGCATGGCACCGTGCGCAAGGCCGTGGACCCGACCACGGGGAAGACATACGCGGTCAAGACCGCCAACGACGTGAGTGTTTCGTGGTAGATGACATGGGTGATAGGAGACAAGCATCCCAGGCACACCTTTTTCTCGACACCGCGGCTGACGGCACCGTTGTAGATATGTTCTGTTTGTTGCGGTGGGCGCATATTGGGATCCATGCCCTGTGTACCTGGAGTATGTTGTTCGTGAACCGCCGGAACGCAAGTTGATTTTATGAAGACAAACGACCGTGGGGTGTAGAAAGAGGTGCTTTATCATGCTTTGGGAAAACCGACGATCCGATCATGCGAGAACTCTCGCCTATTCCCTCCCTCCAAACAACGCCTCTCACACGTAGACCCCTTTCTCGTCGAACCGCCTCCCCTCCCGCACTGCCCCCTCCAATTCCGCACCCAATCGCTTTGGTGATGGCAATGGTGCTGTTGCCGCTGCTTTCGGACACATGCTCATCAACCTGCTCCATCCCTCCTTTCGGTACAGGAGGAAGGCATGGCCTGCCTGAAGGAAGAAGCCAAGAACCTCACCCGGTGAGATCGGTCTCAACCACTGCTGCATCGTCTGCTTTTGGGTCAACCCACCACATGCTGCCGTATCCACCTGGAGCACGTCATGGATTGCTACTGTTTGCCTGCGTTCGTGATGTCCTCCGATGCCTCTGCTCTCTGCACCCATGCCTTGCGAGCAGCAACGTTGTAGACAATCGCCAGTCGTATATTTTGGTCTTTAATCGCCTTACAGACAACGTTCATTTTCCCAACGGAGCGCTATGCCTACGATACCAGATTGTAGATCGATTCCTGCCGGCTCTGCAGCGCCGAGGGCGGATAGTGGAACAAGTTCGTTACTCGGGGTCCCTCGCCTCGTGGGTTGATTGTTGGACAACAGGAACGGGGAACGTCGCGTGTCAATACGCTTGTTCTTCTTCCCCTTCCCCGCCCCCGACCTGTCTGTGTCAAAAAAACCATCAATGATTGCTGGCCTTTTTCGATGTTGTTCGCCGTTCTTCATTCGTCCCGGTGTATTGCAGGCTCGGACCTCACGAAGGCGTCGTGGAGGTCAAGGCCGTCCTCGACAAGGACGAGTCCGTGTCCATCGCGATGGAGCTTGGTCAGACCGACCTGCAACGCGCAATGTTCGGCAACGACCACACCCCGGCCGACCTCCTGCGGTCAGTGCGGGTAACAGCCGCGCTCTCTCTCACACATACCACCCCTCCGTACACAGCGTGCCTACCCCTAGGCAAGCCTCAAATGCTCTTGGGCGAAGCAGGTGTATACCGGCGCTACTGTAGATGCCCAAACCCTAGCTGTGTCAGAACAGACTCCACAGGGCCTTCTGGTTTCCCTTCAGGCCGGAGGAGATAAAGCTTTAGAGTTCAGTCGTACTGTCCGCCCACGTCGTGCTGGCCGATAGAGCACGTAGAGAGGTGATGGTCAAGACGATGCTCGTGTGACGGGGGCAGAGCAACAATAGAGCATCCCCGAAGCGTGAAATATTATGACGCCGATTTGACCATCAAAAGTGGTTGTTGAGGTTTATCGACACATTTCGTCCATTGCTGCGTCCCCCTCGGCAGCCAGTAGTGTGTGCCCTGTGCAGCGTGGCAGTCTGCTTGGCGGGTGAAGAACTGTCTTCCTCCATTCCGGTTGTGTGGGTTACAAGGGTCCATGACAAAGCCAGCAACTGCCATAACCATGGCACCCAGTACCTGCCCTAGATGCACGGACCGCATCTCCCTTTTTGCATCAATGCCGCACTCCTCCACACCCAGACAAAGATAAGTAGGTCTTGGCCGGGTGTCATCCCTAACACTGTTCCTGCCTGCAAACTGGCGAACGTGTTCAGTTATGCCGCGCAGGTGGCCGACGGAGTGGACTTTATGCACGGCAAGGGCCTCGTCCACGGAGATGTTAAGCCCGACAAATCTTAGTCAAGAAGAGCGAGACCCTCACCGTGGCCAAGTTGGCCGACCTCGGCTTGTCGCGCGGTGAGACACAGGACACCGAGAGAGAGAGAGAGAGAGAGAGAGAGAGAGAGAGAGAGAGCGACACACACACAGATAAAGGATGCACTGCTTCTAGTAGTGGCTGTATCGCAGAGTCGCGCTTCTTGCTAGCTCTTGATCGTTGCGGAACAGGTTTTGCAACAACCAGAGACACCAACTGCTGAACATGCGAGTGCTCTCCTTCTCTGTCCCTCTGCCATGTACATGGTGCCCACCACGTGCGTACCCCATTAATGCTCTGCCACAGCGGTGGGTGAGAAGAAACATAGAGGCTGCGGTACGCTCGGGAACTCCATCACGCCCAACAATTACTTCGAGGAGGTACCCGCTGACAAGGCCGACGACGTCTGGGCCTTGGGCGTGCTGCTGCTGTCCTTGCTGCTGCCGCGGGGCCTCTTCTCGAGCAACTACTTGACGAGCCGTGTCCTCCACACCGCCGCGGAGAAGGAGGCACTCGCACGTTCCACCACGAGCAAGCAGAGACTCAACATTAAGGTGCGGTAAAGTCAACCACACACCCCCACCCCCCGGCAGCGGGAAATAGATTCGGAACTTGGCCGCTCACGCGTTTTTTTCTCCCGTGCTCTCGTCGCGCATTGGCCTGATTTCGCCGTTGTTGTGTTGCTGTGTTCACGTAAGACAACGTTCCGGTCTGTGCCTCTGATCAGTACCTCAACATCCGTACTGGTCCAACTGATGCGGACACCTTCCGTGGTCACAAACTTACTACCCAAATATGGTACATGGGATGATAATTTCGTTCCCCGCCTCGTCCTTTGCCGATGCCACCGAATGTGCACGCGTGTGTGCCGCCCTCTTGCTTGTCTCTCCCTCCAGTACCGCATGTCCTTCCGCACGGCCAACGACACGTCCGAGAACGGCTTCCAGAAGAGGATGGTCAGGAGCATGCTCTTCGCGACGCTCGAGCAGACGATGCGGGTGAGATTTCTCTCACGAGCATTCCCCTTTCCCCTTTTCCCCGACATATTCCCCGTTTTGGCGATGCCGTAGATCCTGCTCCGACTACAATATCTTTCCCTTGAATTTCGTGCCAGCATATACTATGGTAATATTGACCCCTTCTCACGGGAACCCTGCCTTGACAAAAATACCTACATCCGATCAAGCATCCATTGGGTCAGCCCACGGCTGTTCCTTGCTGCTCTGCTCATGCATGAAGCCTACCTTCCACTCTGCTCCCGCCGTTGCTATGTGCTGTCGTCTCGACAAATCCGCTCGGATAAAGGTGACCTCAAACACACCATCTAACCCGGCGCTTTGGTGCATTGTTTTGTCTCTTTGCCCCCGTCACCCACCACTTCCAGGACACCGCCTGTGATTTTCTGCGGCGCATGGTCGACCCCGACGCCAGCAAGCGGCCGGACATCGGCGAGGTGCGGGCGTGGCTGCCGTCCATCGTCCTGTCCGCGGAAAGGCAGACGGCGGTCATGGCGGCGGCCGCTCTGGTGCCGACAACGCCCTCTCCCCCGCCTCGGTTGCCGCTGTCGAGAGGGGGCTCCGTGTCTACGATTTCGTTTTCGTCCTCTGGCGGTAGCTCGGAGTCTTCTTCGTCGTCTGCGGCGAGAACATCAGACTCTGCTTCTTCGCCTTCGGCAGGGTCGACGCCATCGGCTGGGGGCTCCGTAGAATCGTTTTCGTGTGCGCCCTCTCGCGGTAGCTCGGGGGGGCTCGCCGTTCTCTTGGAGGACGAGGACGGCATGGCGATGAGTGGGGCACAAGAGAACGCTATCCCGGACCCTCATGCTGCGGCCACCACCGCCATCACCACCACCACCACTGCCACCTCTGCCATCACTCCCTCGATGGCCGCCAGCACTAGTGCAGAGGCCGCGGGCGGCGACAACTCGACCCCGGACTCTTGGATGCCTTCGCACGACGGGTCTTCTCTCGCCGTGGGTGCCGGTGCGGCTTCGAGCGTGCAGGATGGCGTGGCGCACAGCTCCGGTTCGGAGGACGCCTGGTCCACAGGCATCAGCAGCGTCTCCGGCATCGATGTTGCCGTCGGAATCAACTCAGGCGCCGACATCTCCCAGCAGCAGGTCGAATTGTCTTCAAACGCGGGCTCTGTTCGGTTTTTCTCCAGGGCAGGTGCGGCGGGCGCGAGCGATGGGCTGCTGCTGCCGCTGCTCAGCGGGGGCGGGTGCGGCACCGGCGGGAGTCGGCAGGCCCGAGGCGAAGATGGAGAGGCGACGGTGGATGCCGAGGGTTGGTCCGAGCCCGTGGTGACCGGGTGCGCGAGCGTGGAAGACGTCGACGACAATGGCAACGCGGACGCCTGCGCCTCGAGCGCGGTCGACGTGACGTTGACTCTGACCCCGGCAGTTCCCGCGATGGTGTCGGAAGAGGGACCAACTGGTGGTGGTACCTTTGGCGAGCACTGGGCAGTCGGTGGGGGGCGGGAGTGCCTCGACAGCGGCGAGTGGGGAGAGGCGGCCGCGGTGGCGACGGGGCCGCGGCAACGGCGCCGTCTGAGTACGTTCTTCAATCTAACCACGGAGGGCCCTCCCGCCGCCGCCACTGCTGGTGGTGGTGCTGTGGGTGCATCGCCGACGATGACTGTTCCTCCCCCCTTCGTGCCAGAGAGTTTCGCGTTCGAGGGTACGGGTACGGCAGGGGGACAAGAGCCGTGGGCGACTGACCTGGGGATGGCTGCTGCTGGAGCGGGTGGATAGGGAATCGACCTTTGGGTGGCGGGTCTTGCCCCTCTTCCTCAGGATGTCTTCGCCCCGGAGGTTAACATGGCCGGACAGTATGGCCGCTACGGCCGCCGTCGTTGCCGCCTCCCCTGCTTTGCGTCCTTCCACTGAGGGACTACCACTATGACATGGCAAGCGTTGAGAGGGTGTAGTTGTTGGGCAATGTCATGTACCGGAGAAAATGAGTGGTGCCCTATACAGCTAGGTGCTTTTGCTGCTTTTGCAGACAGCAAGACACACGTCACATGCAGGCCATGGACGGTGACTTGACGTTAATCCTCTCGTGAATCGCGAAGTCTAGAGTCTGGCGAGGGTTTCATGTCCAGATGGAGAGCTCGTAGGGTCGTCTTGTGGGCAGGAGTCTCTTAATCTTCATGTAGGGATGGTGGGGTAGCTCTCGTGGCCAGCGGTGCGAGCACGATGTGCGGCCGTACGTGCATATAGGCTGCTGCTAGGCGGTAGGAAGAGACACCGCCGTACAATTTATTTACAACGGGTATTTAATGGTCTTTTATTTATTTCCTGGTCGATTCCCGGCCGTTGTTTCTGTTTTAATTTTCTTTTGCCGCTGGTACTCAGCAGATGTGTCTGCTTTTACAAATCTTACACGTGGTGAGTAGGACCCTCTCATCACCAAGATAGCGGGTGCCGTTATATGTGTTTGTCTTGTCCATCGATCCCCGGACGCCGAGATTTGAGGATTGTTTCGATGTACCTACTTTTCGAACTAGATCAGTTTGATGAGTAGGCATGACAGTGTCTATGACCAAACGGTTACGAAATGAAGTGGAATCTGAGAGCTTTTCTGTCTCGGTTCCTTCCCTGCGTTGTGTGTGCATGGTGTCGGTAGCAATATCTAATATTTTTTTCGGGGTTAAATAAGAAGATTGGCACCTTCAGTTGCAAATTTCTCGCGATTTGTCACACACGGAGTGAACGTGACGTTAGAGTAGTAGCGTGTGTACGATGTTTGAAGGGCCCTACGGCTGACTACAAGGAGTGTCGGGCGGCGGGGCAGGGGGGGAGGGAAGGGGGGGCATTATTTAGGACCAGTGATAAACGCTGTCGTTTGACATTTTTTTTTGCGAGAACGTGATCATTTTATCGTAGATCGTAGAGGGAAGGTGTAGAAGGGATTGAGCAAATCAAGCAAAATCCGATACGATCTTCTTACATTGTGCTGTGCTTGTTTTTTTTTTGTGGAAGTCGTTCATGGTTCTTGTAGTCCATGGTCGTTATTCGACGAACGCTTGCCTAGCAGCACACTCCTGTGTCTGTGATTGTGGTCTGGGGTGTGTATGCATGCTCTAGGCATCACACGCGCACACACTGCAGGACAGGCCATGGCGAACTTGGGACTACTGTTGTAGTACAATGGTTGTGAGATCAAGAGTGACTGCTCTTCCTCCATCTTTGGTTTCGAAATTGGAATCGCTCGTCGGAACCAAAACCCCGGGGGCTGCAGTGTTTGGTTTCAGAAATAACCAAATCATCATTCTTGATCGCACCCTAATGAGCACTGCTCAGCGAAAATAGGAAGGCGGAGTCACCGAGCGATGTCCTCGAGAGCAACATCTCTCCTTCTGCTGCAAGAGAAACCATGCACAAAGACAAGAACTCGAGCAGGTCGAGAATATAGAACAGAACAAGAAAGCGAAGCCCAACAAAACCACACTGCATGGCATTTCCTTGGGCGTTTGAAGTCGACGATCACGACCGGAGCAAATTGGTACGGTACTTTCCCGCACGGATCTGGAATTTCAACGACATGGTCTAGACGTGCAGACTAAAGCCTTGGTGTGACTAGATTGGCGTTGCGGTCTTCCCGCGCCCTTCCTCTCTCGTACACCCCTCGCCTCACCCTACTTCCTGAAAAGCCCATCGAACCGAAACATATATGTGTATCTTCGGCGATAACGGCTTTTCACTCGATGGCCTGAGTGCTGTCTCACTCACCAAGGACCACCTGGAGGCCCACCTCGCCTGTTGGCGTTCCCACAATAATTGCTCCGAACGACATGGACGGCTGCGACGGGCTCTTTGAAGAAGGCTAGTAGCGGCAAGGTGCTTGATCGCTCCACCTTTGTTGCTCACCCCAACTGTCCAAGTGTCATCGGTCGATGGAGCCCTGCATTCGTGTACAGTAGTGCTCTAACGCCGACGCCTCCACAGATATCCCACGCCAAGTCGGATTCGATTCGATCTAGGATGGGTATGGGCTGTGGTTAGCCGATGGGAATGAACCCCGGTGTTGGGGCTAGAGCAAGATGGCTGAGAAGTTCGTGAGTGGGCGGTTGTACTAAAGTCGTCTGCTCTCTTCTACCAGACAACGACAAGCCGGTAGTCGAGAGAAACCCGCCGGCGACCAATGCAACAACGAGGCCATTCCATGACGTGACTCCTGTAGAGACAGCCTGAGGACGGATGACACGCGGGACCGAGTTGTGTAGTGCAAGCGACAGCAGTGACAGTGGAGTTGTGGTTGTCGGGACGGATCGCAAAACCTACATTGTTGGTAGTTGTGGTATAGTCACATTCCCGCTGGGCCGCAGCCGCCCAAGGCTCCGGCAAGGGAGAAGACCTCTGTGTCGGCGAGCTCGCCCAGGGATATGTTGCACCAGACTGTAGTATCATCCGTTCCATGTGCCTCTCTCTACCGTACGGAAAATGACCATGAAAGTTTTCTTACTCGACGCCTACGTTTCGCTCGGGGGTATGTTTGAACCACTTTCCCGGCGGAACGAGAGGCCGGCCATGTGTACGCACCGCGAGATTTCCCCACCCTCGCACGTGCCTCAAGGGACCTACCTCGCACAAGCGTGTGGTGTTAAGCGTGCGTTTTCGCTTAAACATCGGATTGGAGGGAATTGGACTCATGTAGACGCAGATATTTTCCAGGGTTCGTCGTTGAACAAGTAGGACCGAGAGTTAACCGCGACATCACGCTAGATCTGTGCTGGAACTGGCTCATGTGAGGAACAGGACGAATCTCCATGGATACGCGCCAGTATTCAGAAGTGTGGGGTAACTTCAAGTCATCCATCATGGTCTAGTCCAGAGGGAGCGCAAGTTGATCGTATATCTGAGGCATGCAAAGTGGTCCTTGTGATTGGTGTTGTTGGTGCTGTGGCTGTTGCTGTTGCTGTGAAAGACACATTCATAATGTCCGGTCCGACCCTTTGTCCAGAACGTCTTCGTCCGTCCCCTCTTGATGATAGGAAAAAAGGAAACGCTGCAAACTCGGTTGTCGATGGTGGTGTTTTACCTTCCTGTTTCTGTGCGTTGTTCGTGTGTGCATGAGCGGATGAGAATATTCCAACGGGACTGTAGGAAGTGGCTACGCAGATAGGAATTGATAGTCCCCTGGGTTGGTTTCATGGTTGATCCACGGGACTCGACCCTGCGGGAGTGCTTGCTGTGTCGTGGCACTCTCTCTCTCCCGCCGCGTCCTGATCGTGTCTGCTGTCCTAAATACAAGTGATACCATCATCTTCAACACACATACATGGGTATAGTAACACTCTAGAGTGTATCCCTCGAGGGAACCCGTGCTGGGGATGAGTGGCGCCGATGTTGCAGCAGAGGCTGCCGACGTCACCACAAGTACGCAGGGCAGAGTTGACAACCTGGAGAGCAAAGTTTCAGGCCTGACGGACGAGGTACAGCAGCTGGCTGGGCTGCTTCGATCCGCCCTCGGAAAGTTAGAGAAGGAGGGGGAGTCCGGCGGCGCTGGGGTGGGCGCTGTCGTTACGGGCGATGCGCCCACCCGCGGTACCCAGGAGGGGGCACCGCAAAACGAGGGAATCACGCCACCCTCAGACCCGCCGGTTGGGCCGGGTGGCGGACGTGACAGGGGATCGCTCCCCCAAGGTGAGACAACCCAGGCAACGGCAACGGCAACGGCGGTGGAGACGGCAGCAGCTACGGCGGCCGTCGTAGGGGCCGGTGCTACTGGTGCAAGAGGCGAGGGCACCAGTCGGTCTCGTGCACTACCCCCATCGCCGACTTCATGACCCAGTGCGAGAACTGCGACGGGTATGGACACGATAAGAGCAAGTGCCCGTCGGCGAAGGACGAGAAGGAGGTGAAGGGCGAGACAGCGGTCATGGCGGTTGCGGTGGCGAGCGATGACGAGGAGCTGGATGTGGCACGTGAGGCCTTGTAAGAAGAGGCGGGGGAAAGACACAATATCCGCGCTGGTCACTACGCGCGCACCATCCACACACAGCAGCAGTAGGAGACGGTGAAGATAGCACCATTGCAACAGCGTGGAAGGGTGGAGACACAAAAAACCGGCCGCAAGGCCGTGTGCCCCATGGCCGCGACGGAAGGGGCGTGGGGGGGGCAATATTGAGAAGGATACGGCGAGATGGCCGTGCGCCCATAGCCGCGACGGGAGGGGCGTGGGGGGGCAACATTCAGAGAACACGGCGGTAGGGCCGTGTGCCCACAGCCGCGACGGGAGGGGCGCGGGAGGGCAACAACTAAATAACACGGCGGTAGGGCCGTGTGCTCGCAGCCGCGACGGGAGGGGCGCGGGAGGGCAACAACCAAATAACACAGCGGGAGGGCCGTGTGCTCGCAGCTGCGACGGGAGGGGCGCGGGAGGGCGACAATCAATGCAGCTCCATAGCGCGTCGGGAGGGCGTGGGGGGGAGGCAAACATTAGCCCCATGGCGCGTCGGACGGAGCGTGAGGGGGAGAGAAAATCGAAGCAGCCCCGTGGCGCATCGGAAGGGGCGAGAGCGGGAACCCCGCGGCACGTCGGAAGGCGCGTGGGGGTAGGGTACTTGCATCGTGGTGCTACAACGGGAACTCCTTTTGTGGCGAGGCTACAGGCCGGGACGAGCGCTGGGAGGGGAGGAACACGCATCACAGCGCTGGATTGTGGCACTTCTTGGTGTTTGATGGTATTCGTAGCGAAGTTGGTAAATCCTCGTGAGTTGTCATGACTGTACTTTGGTTGAAGAGCCAGGGAGGGTGTTCCGTGTTTCTCGTAGGCGTTCGCGCCCACATGTTCAGTATTTCCTGATAGTCATTCGGTTGAGACCCTCATTGATTGCGGCTACGTGGTGCCGTTCTCTAGGTTGCGCAATGTGCAGGAAGATGGGATACTGTTGGAACCGCTGAAGGAACGTAGGAGGAAAAATTGGGACACCAGTGCTGTACTCCACGAGAATAGAGGATTGCCGAATGCGGTGCCGGTTGTGTGTGGCTCAGGAAATGTTGGATGAGTGCCTTCCGCCCCGGTGCGCTGTATTTCATCAGCGAGGGGCGGCGATTTCGATGTTTGTCTGACGTTTGTTTGAAGAACAAACAGTAGTGCAGCCGCATTGTAGTTGTTTGAACCAACTCCTCAGGATAGTCTTGCACTTTTAATGCTTGCCAAGCGTTGGGATAGGGCATTTGATGGAACGGTGAATATTGGTGGGGGTTTTGACCCGGAGGCCGGGTTTCCCCCTGTTGATTTTTTTTCGCTGGTTTTTTGTCCGTTTGGATTTTTGGTCACATCCGGCGTGTGAATGCCCACTAAGTGGCTAGTTACTAGCGTAAAGAACCAGGGAGGGTGTTCGTGTGTGCATGAGCGGATGAGAATATTCCAACGGGACTGTAGGAAGTGGCTACGCAGATAGGAATTGATAGTCCCCTGGGTTGGTTTCATGGTTGATCCACGGGACTCGGCCCTGCGGGAGTGCTGCTGTGTCGTGGCACTCTCTCTCTCCCGCCGCGTCCTGATCGTGTCTGCTGTCCTAAATACAAGTGATACCACCATCTTCAACACACATACATGGGTATAGTAACATGCGTGCCTACTGAAAGCTGGACCGAGATAGCGCGTGGTTTAGGACGGTCGGGCCTAACGGTCGGGGGCGAGACATCATGGGTGCCACCTGAGAGAAAACGTTGCTATCGCGTATGCATGTATCAGTCTGTTCAGCAGGGGAGTCAAGTATCCGACCCACATACGCGCAATAATAGTACGGGTGTGATACTCTTAAGCAAAAATAAATACACGCACAGAAAGACTACCCATTCGAGATATATCCCCAGTCTCTTCGAAGAGGTCAGCTTCTCGCGGGTCAATGAATCTCTTCGCCGGATGTCCGACATAGCCAAAACTCAAGCACGTTTGGGGAGCTTTGAGCGAGAGTGTTTAAGAAAGCTTCTGGTCTGCTGCTCTTGTATAGTCTAGACAAACGTAGCACAAAAGGAACTGTTCATGCTGCATCGGGCAACGATCAAACCATGTGGCGCTTCACTGCAGTTCATCCCCGTAAAGAAGAACCTTTGCAACCAAGAGCACGAAAACAACTACTGTTCTTAGTTTCATGCCAGACAAAGAGCTAAATGGTTGTGCCGATCACACCTTTGCACTGTGCCACCACCCTCAGACCCGATTCACAAAACCACACCACCACCACCACCACCACCACCACCACCACCAACAACAACAACAACAACAACCACAACCACAACGACAGCAGAACGTTGCAACGCGAAGCGCGGCACGTCTGTACGAGATGGCTAGTTCAGCATTTCCACAGAAGAGCGGAGAAGCACGCATCGCAAACAAAAAGAAGGAACGCGCGACACCCAGGAAAGGTGAACCGGTGGCGATGGGGCAGACACAAGATTGGCCAGTGTCATCAAGATTGGAAAGGGCCCGTGCTGTCATAGTCTATGATGTTGGCGTTGATCGCTTGTCGCTTTCTCTCCTCGCGTAATTGCAGGAAGTACCACAGCCTCCTCCTGTTTCTTGCATCCCATGGAAAATTTCGAAGTTGTCGCGACGGTCTGCCCATACTCAAGGACAGCATGTACCGTTAGCATGAAGCCCGCCCCTCTCGGAACTACATACATACAGCAGTTTTCTCACGAGCAGTTCCTGTGTGATGAGATGTGTGGTACACGTCGCAAAGGCCACAACAGCAGTGGTCATCCTTTTCAAGCGCAACCCTCGATTCGAGGTTCGTTCGTGGGTGACTAGAATTGAAATTTCCTACTTAAACCGATAGATGTGGAGGGCGTATCTGAATTGAATGTCTGGCAACATCAAACAGCGAAACGTAGACTGGGCTGGATGGACTGAACACCGGTACATCATGTGTGGTCTAAACTGTAGTCTACGCTAGCATTATCGACACTACTGCATGACACCATCGAGATCTATGTGCAACGTTTCACACCACGACCAAACATAGACCACAAAGCTCTACATAGACTTTCGTATCGACCCTGCCTCGTCCTAACTGAGAGGAGCCGCACGAGCACGCACGGAGAGAGCGAGAGAAGACAGGCGGACAGACAGACAGGCACTGAGGGAGGGACAGAAACAGAGAGACAGAGGCACAGACAGAAAGAGGGGAAGAGGGGAAGAGGGGAAGAGAGAGGGGAAGAGAGAGAAAGTCAGGCAGACAGAGGAGCAGCAGGCTAGCAGGCTGTGCAGCAAGGGGCTGTGTTGTTTGTTGTGGTTGGTTGTATGCATGCAGGCGATTGTGCGGGTAAATACATGCGCGATGTATGCCGAAGCGGTACCAAACCTGCCGCATATTGTGCTCCTATATAAAAATTTGGAATGTATAAAACGGCCCAATAGTATGCCACCACCCGACCAGCTGCTCGCCACATGTCAGTTTCGCACATCGGCGAGCTGCCTTGCTTCTGCACACATATCGCCCACATGAAATGACCGTGCAGATCGCCGTGGAATAACTCCCTCCAACTGCCGAATCATGTGTCGCAGAGACCTCTCGTCGCCGGCGATCCGACCGCCAGTGGGCAGAACGAGCTCTCCACGCGTGTCACACGCGCCACGACTGGGGAGCAGAGACTGGCGGCCCTGTACAACGGTCGGGCATTTTCGACCAATGTACCGTTGACCGGCGGCTATTCTGAACGCACTGGGGAGAACCACCACTGGCAGTAGCAGTAGTAGCAGCAGCAGCAGCAGCAGCAGCAGCAGCAGCAGCAAGAACACTACCAAGGGTCATGGTGACCACCACGACCGAGAGCAACAGCAACGACTACAGCAGTACCGGTCGAGATTGCACTCTGCAAGGCCTGGTGCATTCTCCGGCCCTTCCGCCGCCTCGGAAGACTGCTTTTCGCGGACAAAGGCAAGTTTAGTTCCTGTACAACCCGTGACCAGTTGTGACTTGATATTTGTCATGTCGTGTTCTATGCACTGTCGACATAGATAGGTGTCACCGCTACTTCGCCACAGACGAGACTGCCTAGACTACTGCATTCTGCGGGCATTAGATATTGGCCGTTGCGCGTGACATGCAGTTATATCCGCCTCCATACGTGAGCCTACAGCATACACCACCAGCCAAACCCTGCCACAAGAGGCAGTAGATATCACCACATCTGTCGTGGAGCTACCAAATATCATGGCGCTACCGTCGTCATAATAATAGGACACACACAAACACACGAAGGTAAGGATATTAGATATATTGGGGGTACTCGTAGCATAGTATGACGGTTGAGATGTTCGGTACGTACGTACGAAAGTAACAGTGATGAGATGCGGAGGGATAGGAACTTTCTACATATATTCCTTGGTTGCGAGAGGTATTTGGTGGAGATTCAGAGAGATTCGTTGAGTGACAAAGAGTGAAGGCGTGCCCAGATACCGTGAAGGTTTGACAAGCACTGGCACGCCCCCGATGAATACAATACTTTTACAATCCTTTTCGATACGTTTTCCACACGTTTCTACCCATCCACGCTCCGCCATGAGCCACCCGCTTTGAGCTCCAAGCACAAAGAACCGAGCCACCCGAATTATCGATCACGCTAGCGTCTGACACGTCGTCTACGAGATTCGCGGTCGAGCTTGGTTTAGGAGCATCGCCTTGCGGCGATCGACAGCAGGGTCAAGATGGCCTCCAGGCGCGAAGATGAATCCCGCCCAGCAGCGGAAGCCCGCCAAGCAGCGGAGGACGCCAGGATCGAAGAACTGGTCAACGAGCGAGTAGCAGCTCGGATGGAGCAGCTGATGGAGGAGAAACTGGCCAAGAAGATGGCCGAGATGGAGGTGCGGCATCGAGCCGAGCAGCAGCGGGGAGGAAATGAGGAACAAGAGGCAGCACACCAGCAAGATCCTGGGCGCCCAACACCCAACCCCTCCGCAGACGAGCTGGCCGACGCGATTGCGACTGCCATGGCCGGTCGCCTCCAAACCTCAGGGGATATCGGTGCAGTGTCTCACCCCGCAACTCTTCGTATGACTGAGAGTAGAAGAATTGAGCCTTGGGATGGTGTGTTTAAGTCGGGGGACAGTAGGCAGCAGAAGCTTTTGATTTTTCGATCGAGCATGGTAGCACGCTTTGCGCAGGAGGATGTTCACGAAGTAGTGATGAGCAACCAAGACATCCCAGTAGGGAGGCAGGGGATCAGTATGACTGACCTGAAGACTGAGTATGGCGAACAAAAGGTAGCCAAGGCTATAGTGGCATGGAATGTGCTAATCACGTCAATCTCGTACATGCCGATTCTGTCGGAAATCGTGTCGGACGGGAGCCCGAGTGGTGGCTGGAGGATTTTCCTCAAATATTACGAGCCACAAGCGAAAGCGGAGAAGAAAAGACTTTTGAAAGAGTACCATGGCTTCGCAATGCATGCAAACGAACATCCACAAGAGTACTTCGGTAGGTTCTCTATTTTGCGGAGTAGACTAGCGTCGCACGGGACAGTGTATCCTGACAACGAAGCAAACGACCACCTAGTGTCTGCCCTCTCGTCCGACTACAAGATAGAGAAGAAACTTTTGGACCGCACCCCTGATTTGACTTTTGAGCAGATTGAGGATTCCGTGAAGGAGGCCCACACGGACCTGGTGCGCGCACGGGAGGAGGAGGAAAAGAGTGGCGTGGGGCACGCCTTCGTCGCTTCCGGTGCGCCCCGGGGCGACGGACGTGTCCCAAATGGGTCGAGTGGGAACGGCGGCGGACAGGACGGCAAAGGCGACGGTCGGAGCAGGAGCGACGAGACCAGAGGAGACAGGCGCTGTCATTTTCATCCGTGGTCAAACCACACAAACGCGGAGTGCTACCAACAGCAGCGGGAAAAGGAGAGAAAGCAGCGGCAGCAGCAGCGGCGGCAGCAGTCATCACAGCAACAACAACAGCCGCCGCAGCAGCAACAACAACAGCCGCAGCAGCCTCAACAGCAGCATCCGCAGCAGTCTCAACAGCAGCATCCGCAGCAGCCTCAGCAACAGCAGTACTACCATCCTCGTCCCCAACAGCAGCAGCAGCAGCAGCAGCAACAAGGCGGCCGCGGTGGGGGGGGCTGGGGTGGTGGACCCCAGCACGGACCTCATGGCGGACGCGGAGCGCAGCAAAGGTATGGAAACTCTGTCCCCCCTCGCCCGCAGCAGCAGCAATGGCGACCCTCGCACGGGCATGCAAACGTGATGCACCACGAACACGGTGCACCGCCCTACGGGGGGCCCGCAAATAGTAGCGAGTATGGGGGTTGGGAGCAGCCGCAGCCACAGTACCAGCAGCCTCCGCCTGACTACACCCAGCAGCAGCAGCCGTACTACCCGCCACCGACGCCTTACTACGAGCAGCAGCAGCCGCCGCCACAGCCTCCGCCTCCGCCGACGTTCCAGCAGCAGCAGCACTCGACTCATGCCCCGCCCCACTCCTCTCCTCCCGGAGCAGCAGCACCGGCCCCGGGCTCCCTCCACTTCTTGATGGCACGTTTCGTGTCTGCAGGCGAGATTGTTCCGAGTGGTGTTGTAGCGAGTACCGAGCGTGAGAGTGGTAATGGATTTGCTTTGTCTGCGCAGAACCCGCTTTCCCATTTTGGTAGAGAGAAGTTTTGGGCCGACAGCGGTGCGACAAACACTTTTGTAAGCAGTAGCCACCAAATGTTCGACTTGAGACCAGTGCCGACAGGCAAAGAATACATCCAGGTTGGAAACGGTGCTTATTTGCGCGTGCAGTGTGTGGGGAAGGTCAACATGGCCTTTCACATGCAAGACCAGTCAGGGGAGCATGATTTTTGTGTGCAGATGTCGGACGTGTACGTTGTGCCTGGAATCACCTTCAATCTTTTTTCGCTGCACCACACGCAGCGTAGGCAGCGTATCGTTCTAGACGAGACCGGCGTCCACCTATTCGATGGTAGGCTTTCCTTTGAATACTCTGACGTAGGATGCTCGCTCTGGGCTACCCGATTGCCCCAGGATTATACTGGTAGTGCTGTGACCTACAGCCCCGATGCCCCCCCCCGTGTTTCTGCCCAAGCGTCCCCGCCTGGTGTTGGCACCGGCCTTGTTGCGGCAAACCCCCCTTTCCCACAGAGTGCAGGAGCGGGCGCGACTTCGAGTGCGAGTGCGAGTACCGGCTTCCAGTCCGTCGCTGCGGTCGGCGTTGTACCTGCGAGTTCTGGCTTCCAGTCCGTCGCAACGGCCGGCGTTGTACCTTCGACTCCTGGTGTCCAGCCCACCGGCTCCGACGGTGTAGTACCTTCGACTCCCAGCGTCCCCTCCACCACTTCCGGTGTAGTGCTACCGATTTGTGCTTTTCCGTCTGTCGAAGTAGACCCAATCCCCACGACGATCCCTGATTTTCAGCCTGTGATTACTGCTGCCGTAGAATCGTCTTCGGTTGTGCCTCCCCCTGCCGTAGAGCTGACAGACTATCGCGAGATCGAGATCAACCCCCTTGTCTCTCAGGACGAATTACCGATCATGGACATGAGCATGTTCCTAGATGTTGGGTTGATGGATGGCAAAGACACGGTCCCCCCGGGTGATTTTTTTCCGGATGCGCATGAATTCTCTGCGTCTGCGGAGCCCCCTCCCTTGGCTTTCACTGTGCAGCATGATGATTTGGAGGTGTTGAGAGGTTTTCTTTCCGAGTGCAATGAGCAGCAGGCCGTAGCCCCTCCGTCTCTTTCCCACGCGTTGGCGATTATCGCCCCCGGTGCTTCCCCCTTTTCGGTAGGAAAATCCACGCCCACCATCGATATTAATCTGTTCCACGCTTCCACCGGCCACGTGAACGAATTTTTGATGCGTGAGACTGCCAAGCAGCAGGGTGTTCGGCTGGTCGGGGAGCTGCAGCCATGTGTGGGCTGTGTGGAGGCGAAGGGCAGGAGGGCCCCGGTGCCGCGGCGTGGGACACGCGCTGCGGTGCCGTTCGGCAAGGTCCACATCGATCTCACGGGCCCGTTCACCGAGGCGATGGACGGCTCCCGGTACCTGATCATGTTCGTGGACAGCGCATCGCGGTGGCAACGGGCGTACGGGATGCGGGCGAAGAGCGACACCCTGAAGTACGTGAAGCGCTTCTTGGCCGACATGAACGGCATGGGCACTCCGGGATGTTTCCGCATGGACAACGGCGGCGAGTTCACCGGCGCCGCTTTCATCGAGTTCTGCGACGCCGCCGGCATCCGGCGCGAGTACACCGCGCCGAACACCCCCAAACAAAACGCCGTCGCCGAGAGCGCCATCTGGCGTGCGATGAAGGGGGGCCACGCCGCGCGACGCCACATCCTCTCCATGGCCCACGTCGACCTCGCCTCCGTCCCCAACATCGGCGCCAACGGACAACGCCTGTGGCTCTCGTCGGCGCTCTGGGCATCCGGTTGTTTCAACCGCTCCGCGACGAAGGCCAATCAGGGCTGGATGTCGCCGTTCGAGGCCTTCTTCGGCCGGAAGCCGCCCCTCACCGTCGTCCCCTTTTTCCAGGAGGGTAGGATGCGCGTGAAGCGGGCCACCAAGGCGGACGTCCAATCCGCGAGGTGCTTCTACCTGCACGGCGCCAACAACCACTCGACGTCTACCGCCGTCGTTCTTCGCGCTGACACCGGTCGCCTCGCCCTCACCAACAACGTCGTGTGGGTCAACCGCCGGGCAGGAGCGCCGGCGCCGGTGCCGGCCATCGGGGGGGGTTCTTCGGTCACCGCGGCGCCCTCGCCGGCCGCCGCCGTACCTGCGGCCGATGCCGCACAGCCGCCGCCCCCGCGGACATGGACGTACTACCCCCCTGCACCAGCGACCACCGCAGCGCCGCCCCCTCCCCCGTCGATCTTCACAGGATCTTCAGCGCCGTCGCCGATCTCCGTCGCACCATCCTCAGCCCCGCCGTCGACCGCAGCCACTCCGCCCCGTTCGCCCCCGGGCCTACCGCCGCCGCCGCCGAAGCCCGCCAGCGCCGCCGTCCCCGCTCCTCCGCACCCGCCGCTTTCGAAACGAGCCGTCAAGGAGTTGGGACGAGAGGACACGAGGGTTCACGGCCGCACACGCGGCGATGGAGTGCGGTTCATGGATGAGCAACAAAAACCGCCGTCGCCACCCGGTGGCGGCACCGCTCTCCACCACCGCCTTGAGCTGTTGGACATGATGGACAAGGACACCCTCATCTCGTCGCTCGCCACCCGGGAGGCCGTGGATCAAGGACGCCGCGACCTACCGCCCCCGCCGCAGCCGGATCCGAGTCCTGGAGGCCGTGGAAGCGGGGGGGCTGTGGGAGCTGGGGGGCCCGTGGATTCCGGAGGGGGGGGGAGACCGCAGATGTTCGCAACGATGTTCGCCACCCGTGAGGATGTGGACGCCGCACTTCGCGCCGAGCGCCCGCCCGACAAGATGCCTGACCTTCCGCACTGCATGGCCAGCGACCTCCGCGAGCCGAAGACGTTCAACGAGGCCATGCGGTCTCAACATTCAGAGTTATGGAATGATGCAATCGGTCGAGAGTTTTTCGGTTTGTTGGATGCAGGAACTTTTAGTCCGGTGTAGCAACCAGTAGAGAACGCCATCAATGCTAAGTGGGTCTTTAACTGTAAGGCAGACGAGTACGGATGGCCGACGAAATTCAAGGCAAGACTTGTAGCGCGGGGGGACATGCAGAGGGCTTCGATTGATTTTGGAGAATTGTTTGCACCCACCGTATCAGTGTCTAGTGTGCGCTTGTTGGCAGCATTAGCGTGTGAGCAGAATCTTGACTTGTGCCATTTCGACATTCAGCAGGCTTTTGTGCAGTCTGAGCTTGATGAGGATGTTTTCATGCGCTTACCGCAGGGGTGTGGTAGGTTATCTGGCTTGATCGTGAAGCTATGCAAGAGTCTGTATGGTTTGAAGCAGGCATCACGACATTGGCATTCGCACCTGACGAGGTGTTTGTTACTTTTAGGTTTTTTGCAGTGTCTGGCAGATGCGTGTGTTTTTCGATTGATGGAGGAGGGACGTGTGATCATGATCATCGTGGTCCACGTGGATGACATTTTTGCTGTAGGGCAGAAGGAGAGGTGTGACAAGTTTGGCGAGGACCTCAACGAGATGGTCCCCGTGAAAAACCTTGGAGAGTTGAGGTGGTACTCTGCGTGCTTTTACGAGAGAGACGTAGAGAGAGGGCTGTTGAGGATTTCGCAGCAGAGGTTTGCCGAAGAGTTGGCTGCAGAGTACGGAATTGAGTGGGGGAGGAGTGTGCCCTTGCCTGTGAGCGTGAAGCTCACCGACTTTGACGAGAACGAAGCGTGCGCTGATGTCCCTTTTCGCGAGTTGGTAGGATCTCTGATGTGGTTGGCCACTCAAACAAGGCCGGACATCGCGAACGCAGTACGAGCAGTAGCGCGGTATTGTGCATCTCCCAAGATGGTGCACTGGAAGGCAGCACTCGGTATTTTAGGGTACGTACGGAGGACGAGTTGGATGGGGATTACATTTGAGAGGGGAGTGGTGACTGGGATGAGCATGCAGGTGTTTGTGGATGCCGACTATGCAAGCAAGGCGACAGACCGTAGATCGGTGTCAGGAGGGCTAGTGATGTGTGGGGGAGGGTGTGTGACTTGGTTTTCGAGGACACAAAAGTGTGTCACGCTTTCCACCACGGAAGCAGAGTATGTGGCAATTGCCGATGTCTTGAAGGAAGTGTTGTTCCTGAGGCAGGTGTGGCGTTTTATGTTGCCAGATGCAGGTATGCCGTGCATCCCGGTGTTCGAGGATAATCAGGGAGCGATTCAGATTGCGCACAACCCGATCACGAACTCCAACTCGAAACACATCGATGTACGACATCACTTTATCAGGGAGCTGGTAGAGAGGAAGGAGATTTCAATTACTCATGTGCCGACGCAATTTCAGCATGCAGATTTCTTGACGAAGGCCATTAGCAAGGAGTCTTTTGCGTTGCACCGTGACTTTGTGATGAACTTGCAGTGAAGGAAGTGTTTTGGGGTCGATTCGTATTCTGTGATGGAGAGAGTGAGAGAGACGAGAGATTGGACAAGAGAAAAGAGAGAGTCTGGTGAAGGTTGGAGGAGTTGTTGTGTTTAGTTTTTCTTGATTGTTTTGGAGGAGTTTTGATTGTGTTTGATTTTTCTTGTGATGGACTTGGAGGATTTTGGATTGTTTTGGTGAAGATATTGGTTTTTGTTTGTTTTGGAGAGATGGTAAAGAGGAATTTGGTTTTTCTCGGAGCATGACGATGCATACGAGTAGGGGGGCTATTAGATATATTGGGGGTACTCGTAGCATAGTATGACGGTTGAGATGTTCGGTACGTACGTACGAAAGTAACGGTGATGAGATGCGGAGGGATAGGAACTTTCTACATATATTCCTTGGTTGCGAGAGGTATTTGGTGGAGATTCAGAGAGATTCGTTGAGTGACAAAGAGTGAAGGCGTGCCCAGATACCGTGAAGGTTTGACAAGCACTGGCACGCCCCCGATGAATACAATACTTTTACAATCCTTTTCGATACGTTTTCCACACGTTTCTACCCATCCACGCTCCGCCATGAGCCACCCGCTTTGAGCTCCAAGCACAAAGAACCGAGCCACCCGAATTATCGATCAAAGGAAAGTAGCTACTATTCAGTTTGTCTCCTCCTGGGTCCTACGCTCGAGCAGCCAAGCACCTGGTTACGCCGCATGTGGCACATGCTGCGACCTCTTCTCTCCACGCACCAAGCATTGTTGCGAATCAGGTACTACATCGTCTCCATCTCTCTCTGGGTCTTTGCAGTCATCGCAAGAGGATGATGACGTCAGGCGGCAACTCCTATAACCGTGGGACCTCAACGACGTCAGCAGTGCCCTGGATCAGGTTCGACAAGATACTCTTGAATCGCCATTTTTTTCGACACTCAAACACGTCGACCCGCAACTGGCGAAAGTATTTTGCAAACAATTCCAACATGTCGTCATCCTCTTGGTGCAAGCATTTGGAGCTGTACACATGGATCAGCAGAAGTCATATAACTCAGATCTGTCCCCTCTTGCAGCGGAAAGATATGAAGCAGCACGTGTTGAAAGACAACTCCAACTTTTCCGAGCAACAAAGTTGCTTCATCTTACCCCAGCAATGTATGGATCGACTGATGGAAGAATGAACAGGGTATCCCGATTTAACCGCGTTGAAAATGATGATCTGAGTGAACCTATCGCCTGGCTCATGATGTACGAGAAGAATCGTCGACTTCAGAATTATGTGGATACTGAAGACAATCGCCAAAGAAGAGCCACAAGACTTGTGTATGAAAGAGGAGGCATCACGAAAGCTGCCAGGGCCTTAATCTCCCCAGCACCTTCACCGCGCAACAACGATACGCTGGATCATCTTCGCAACCTACACCCTGACGAAGATCCTGACGACATTGCTACTGCGTGGGATTCCAGCATCAAAGCTGCGGGGGATCGTATAAAAACGCACAAGACATACTCCGTCGCCGACGCTGATGAACCATTCGAGATCAAGTTCATCAAGCAGACGGTAAACAAAGGCAACCCTCAGAGTGCTCCGGGGCCTGATGATCTTCGTTTTTCGTATCTCCAAGCTGGTGGAATGAGTGATTGTTTTCCTGAAACCTTGGCGTTTTCAGTTTTAAAGTCTTCTACTACGTGGACGAGCTTCCGGAGTACTTTTGGAACCTCCACACCAGTGCCAACCTTTCAGCGCTGGGAGAGAAAAAACGGCCGATTGCAGTTGGAGGGGTTTTGCGTCGCATCATCAGCGGCAGCTTCTGCCGCCAGTACAAGGGAGGGATAGCTAACATCTTCGAAGCAGCAAACCAGTTCGGAGGTGGTGCTCCAGGAGGTTGAGATAGTAGCTTCCACAGCAGCCCTCAGCCACCAGCAAGTCAGCACCATTCTCCCCTTTGATGGGAAAAATGCTTACAACAGCATGCGCAGATCTTCCATCTTGCCAGCAGTGGCCACTCATACGCCACACTTGGTGAAGTACTTCGGGAACATCTCCGCTCGAACCAAAGCGAAACTTCTGTTCAAAATGGAAGATGGTTCGATCGAGGTTGTTCTTTCACAGCGCGGAGTTCAACAAGGCTGCAATTTGGGAGGGTTTGGCTTCTGTGTAGGACTTCTTGATATCATGAAAGAGTTCAACAACAAGCCACCAGTGCCAGGAGTGAAACTCATCGGATACGTCGACGACCTCCAAGCACATCTTCCACCAGGTTTGGCTAGGAACATGCAGGCCATATCCACTGTAACGAATTGGATTCAGGAACGTCTCTCCCAAAAAGGCATTGAGCTCAGTCTCCCGAAATCCAAAGTGCTTTTCCCGGAAGGTCTTTGCATGTCCTCTTTGACAAACGACGAACAGCAACAATTGACGAAAATTGGTCTGTCAGTTGCTGAAGGTGGCATGCCAGTAGTCGGGATCCCAGTAGGGACAGAAGAGTTCCAGAGGAATTTCGTTTCCGAATTCGTCCGTGGTGACCCGGCGAAATTGATGCTCCGCCGAGCAACGCTTGACGACCCTCAAGCCAGCTATCAACTGCTGCGTTTACCTGGTGTGCCACGTTTGTTCCATCTGCTGAGGACGATTGCACCGTCTATCACCAACTCTGCCGCAAAAATACATGACAACATGATGATGTGGGCAATGAGTAAGATCGTCCTTGGCAAGATGGCCGACAGCATGAGAATACCAACNGAGTTCAACAAGGCTGTAATTTGGGAGGGTTCGGCTCCTTTGTAGGACTCCTTGATATCAAGAAAGAGTTTAACAACAAGCCACCGGTGCCAGGAGTCAAACTCATCGGATACGTCGACGACCTCCAAGTACATCTTCCACCAGATTTGGCTAGGAACATGCAGGCCACATCCACTGTAACGAATTGGATTCAGGAACGTCTCTCCCAAAAAGGCATTGAGCTCAGTCTCCCGAAATCCAAAGTGCTTTTCCCGGAAGGTCTTTGCATGTCCTCTTTGACAAACGACGAACAGCAACAATTGACGAAAATTGGTCTGTCAGTTGCTGAAGGTGGCATGCCAGTTGTCGGGATCCCAGTAGGAACAGAGGAGTTCCAGAGGAATTTCGTTTCCAAAATCGCCCGTGGTGACCCGGCGGAATTGATACTCCGCCTAGCAACGCTTGACGACCCTCAAGCCAGCTATCAACTGCTGCGTTTATCTGGTGTGCCACGTTTGTTCCATCTGCTGAGGACGATTGCACCGTCTATCACCAACTCTGCCGCTAGGAAACATGACAACATGATGATGTGGGCATTGAGTGAGATCGTCCTTGGCAAGATGGTCGACAGCATGAGAATACCAACGGACAACGAAGTACTCGCAGACCCGTCGAAGAGCGAGGAGGTAGATTTCTTCAAAGGGACAGCTCGGGCACATGTGCACCTACCCATGCGTGAAGGAGGACTAGGAATCACGAGCAATGTTCTCATTCGAGAATCNATACATGACAACATGATGATGTGGGCAATGAGTAAGATCGTCCTTGGCAAGATGGCCGACAGCATGAGAATACCAACGGTCAAAGAGGTACGCGCAGACCCGACGAAGAGCGAGGAGGTAGATTTCTTCAAAGGGACAGCTCGGGCGCAGGTGCACCTACCCATGCGAGAAGGAGGACTAGGAATCACGAGCAATGTTCTTATTCGAGGATCGGCTTTTGTGGCAGGGCAAGCGCCTGTGTTCTCCAAGTCAGTGCAAGCATCGACAGGATACACAGTTGAGCAATGTCTACCCCGGCTTGCCCAGCTACCGACAGGGTTGGCTCTGATTGACTCGCTGAAGAAGCTAGAGGAAATAATCACCAAAGACAAGCTTGAAAAAGCTGTTGGGCAGTCATGGGCTAAACTTGCCACAAGTGATGAGTTAACCCCCGCCCTCAAAGGAGTTTA